GCGTGCCACGCAGAGGGATTCCGGAGGAGGTCGGTGCGGTGGGCGAGCACGTAGGTAGCTGTGAGCGTGGCGGCGGGTGCGTCTGGCGGTGACTGTCACGTTCCCTTGACAACACTCTAAAATATAATCTGTTCAGTCTATGACACTTTTTCTTGCCGAGCGGTGCTGGAAGGAGGTGGGAGGCAGGTTCTGCCCGGGGAGGCTGGTGGGAGCTTGCTGACTTCAGCACGCTCTGCTCGCCCTGCGTCGCTCAGCACTGGGCTACGTTTGCAGGTTGCTTCAGTTCAGAGAAAAACCTCCCGACTGTGAGTGACCCAAAACAGCCTGACCCTGTTACAGCCCCAAAAATAGCCCTTCCCTCGCAACTGGCCGCAGCCTGAGGCAGGTCCAGCCCCAGGTGGCATGGGAGGCTCAGAGGAGTGGGCAGCATCCCCGTGCCACCGCACACGACGCCGTCCCTCCGAGGGACCCAAGCCCAGAGCCACCGCAGTGACAGAAGGACAAATAGCAGCAGTTAACCAGTTAACCAGTTAGCTGTGACTGGGGCGGTAGGACTGGTGGTTCCCAGAAGAGCCATCATGCCATCACTTCTTCCCACGGGCTGTATCCAGCCGTTGGGAGCATGCTGCCAGGCCCGCACCCCCTCGTGGGCTTGGACCTGGAGAGAGGTGGGAAGTCGGGGATCAGCAGCAGATTGCAGCTGCTCCTGCACCATCCCAGCAAGACCTGGGGATTTCCAGGGTCCCAGAGGGACGGACACTTCCCAGCTCTGGTCTGTGACCAGGGGTGGCTGGAGGCCTCTGGGCTCGCTGCAGTGCAGGACCCACTCCATCTCCCAGCTCTCCAGTTACCCACCATGGTCCCAGCAGCCACCATGGATTTCAAGGGAGCTGATGAAGAAAGCCACCCCTCCTCTTCATCCCTTCTCCAGGCAGCAAAGCTTTTCCACAGGGGAAGACAAGCAGCTCCTCAGCAAGCCGATGGGATACGGGGGTTCGCAGCCCCCCAGCAGACACAGCCCCGCAGCAGCCCCCGCTCCGTGGCCTGTCCTCGTGGCAACCGGTCCCAGCAGGGCAGAGGGACTTTGGGTTTGGATCCTGTTGGTGGCCCGTGGTGGGATGCGTTCGCCTTTCCCCAGGAGGACGGATGCCTTCGCACCAAAGCAATGGCATTAGAAGAAACGATTTCTGCTCGGTCCCAGGCCCTGCGCTGCCTTCATTCGGCTCTAACCAAATCCAGCATTTCTAAATATACACTGGAGTCTTATTTTCTCGCTCCGATCTTTATTTGCCTCTGGATAAGCTGAAACAGATGGGGTGTTTCACAACGGCCGCTTGCTGGGGATGTCAGATGGGGAAGGGCACACCCCTGCTGCTTTTCTGGGAAAAATCCCCTTTCCAGAAGCTCCGTGAAGATGATGCCGACCCTCCTCTGGCCTTTGCTGGGGCCATTGCTGGCCTGGGAGCAGTCTCAGGGCTGCCACGGACGGAGCGAGAGGCCGGCAGGTTCCCAGCTCGGTGGTGCGGACAGGCGGTGGTGGACACTGGGATGATGCCCTTTACCCACTTTGGAGGCTGGATTGGGAGAAACAGCCTCCTCGAGCAGGGAGAAGAGGCATCTAAGAGGCAAGAGGGGAGAAAACGCCATGGAAATCTCACTGTTTCATGGCATGATGCTTTCCCTGCAGAGCTCGAGGTGAGGTTGCTTGTTTCAAGGTGCCACGAGCTCTGTGCCAGAGGTGGTGGCAGGCTCTTGCATCCCAGGCAGCCCCTGTGCCATGCAAGGAGGGATGCAGAGCTCATCTGGGTCCGTGGGGTGCAAGGGCACCCCGCTTGCCTCCCCACAGCTCGGGGTCTGGGTGTTGCTGCAGGGCTGGGGGCAGCTGTGGAGGCTGCATGTCGCCCCGGAGCCCGGGTGCTGCGCCGGGGGGTGCCAGGGGTCCGGAGCGAAGGGCTGCCACAGGCCAGTCGGAAAGCTAACAGGGAAAAGTCATCTCCAGGCTTGAGTTTTTAAGAAAACCCCATCCTGGAGCCAGGATAAATTCCAGAGCAGAAGAGCCTGGCTCGGGCTGATCCCCCGAAACAATGGCCCTGCGATGTGGGCAGAAGCCAGACTGAGCCCTGCGGACTCATGACACTGGTCGGCCAAACCGGATCCCAGCTCCTGCTGCCGCCCCGGAGCTCGGCGGGGCCGAGTCCATCCTTCCTCCCCGTGTTCGGCAGCGCCAGCGCGGTGTCACCCAGCTGCCCGGAGCCACGTACACCACCCGCCTGCCAACCAGCACCCTTGGAGTGTT